GGAAGTGTGACAAACTGGAAACATAACTGTGCCTAGGGTAGGCCTAGCCTCAGTCTAGGATAGATTTGCCGTGTTCATAGGATTTTGGAGTCCCACAATCTGAGTAAATTTATCTACTTATGACGCTTAAATTATGAAGATTTTTCTCTCGATTGTAACTCCTAGATTCCCTCTCCGGTTGCCATCTGTGTACGACAAGCGCCTCGAACCTTACTTGACCGTCACCTGCCCCGGGAACTCCTGTTTGTCTGACTCAAGCCTGTCATGTTGATTTATGCTGTCATGCTGATTGAGGACCCCTGCCATGGTGATTGAGGTGGAGGGGAGCGGGAGCGCGTCCGATGAGACCGACGGCTCGAGACATGCCCGCTCACACTGCCGGCCGCGCCGGCGGCAACTGCGCGATCTGCCAGCGCCGTGGTAAGCTGGCCCCTGTCCCACGCGACCAGCGGCCGGACCGGCGCACCGGGCGAGCCGGGCGCGGCACGGACGCAAGCTGCGAACGGCGCCCACCGAACATCGCGCTGTCTTCACCAGCCAGCAGTCGTCTTCCGCTCGTCTGCGGTGACCCCAGAGTGTGACGCGCTACCCGGCCGGCCGTGACGGCGGCAGCATCACTCCGATGTCGACCGTTTTAATGTCGCCATCGGCCGGTAATCCGTCATCGAGCGGCGGCGATCGGCCGGGCGCGATGCGGCCGCCAGATTGCCGTATCAGCTGCCGGCTAATGGCACACAGACGCCTCGCGATAAGATTGATGCACTGTCGATAATGCCTGCTCGCCCCCTAATTGCCTGTCAACCGCCCGATGGCAGAGCGTCTGGCTCACCTGAGCACAGGGCATGAAGGCTGGAACTCACCTGAACACAGGACCAGAGGGCCGGCCCTGACGTGAGCACAGGGTGTGGGGATCTAAATTCATCTGAACACGGGACATAGGAGCCGAAAGCTACCTGAGCGCATGGACTGGGACCGATGCTCATCTAAATGGAGTACCCGAGAAACAAAACTATCTGAGCAACGGACTGGGAGGTCAGAACTTACCTGAGTGCATGACCCGGCAATCTGAACCGTCCTGAACACAGACCGGTAACTGAAATTCACGCGAGCACAAGAGCCGAAGACCGGCAATCATCTCAACAGTGCTGAGTGTGGGGCTTATGGGCCAGGATTCACCTGAACAGAGAAGGTGGGACCTGGGAGAGATCCGGAGAAAAGCGTCTCGGGCCCGTTATCATGATCTACCTGACACAAGCCTGCCTGTTACAGGGTCTCAGGACTTAGGCTTAGTTGTGGATCGCCTTCTGCTTGCGTGAGATGACTGACGTTCGCTACATGTGCGTTTAGTGAACCCCGAGCCTCATGGCGATAGAGAGAAAAAGTTGAATGCCGGTAAACGCCTGCAGAGAAATGCTGGGGAGCGAGTCTTGGCTGGATCTGGGTGGGGGAGGGAGAGGGGGGGGGGGGGGCTTCTGAAAAAATTACCCATCTGTGGGTCTCGGTATCAAGTCTCCGTGACCCATCTGTGGACCACTGGGGATTGAGATTTGTCGGGAGTTGGGGACTGAGGGCATGGGCTTCGTCAGGTCTGAGCGGACCAGAATACTTGCGGAGGATTAGGGCCAGGTCCGAGGATCCCCAGGGTTCCGAGGTAAGAGACCGGGCATGGCAACTGTGGCGTACGTTAGACGCAAAAGATATAGAGCGAAACGCTACTGACAGCACTCCGTGATAATGGAACGCCATCCAAACACCAGGCAACCTTAAATAAGCCCTTAACATGCACCATGTTCAGATGTTGTCACATGAACAACACGCCTGGCATTAACTCCAGTAGGACGGGCTCCGAACCCCTGCGGTGACCAGCCGGAGAGCAGTCGGCCTGCGTTCCACACCTGACCACCTGTTGCCGCTGCGGCACGCGCCGCCGGGCCACGTGCTGTGCGAGCAGTACCGGGCGGCGCGGCCGGCCGTCTGCAACCCGACGGCCGCCGACTCAGCGGACCTCCGACCTGGGCGCGCGAGCCGCTGAGGCGAGCGGCTCGATGGATCAGGGCAGCGTGCGTGGACGGCGCTCGGTCGCCATGGAGACGCCGGACAGGCGCCAGGCCTCCGCGGCGCGAGCGCGGCGCCGGTTCGCCCCCGGTGTCGGCCGGCGACCGAATCCCATCCCGTCCGCATCGCCGCCTGGGGAGTCGGGACCCGCTCATTGCGGGCTGTGGGGCGGCGGCCGCCGGCGCTGTCCCAGACTGCCGCTTTGACGGAGAGCTCGCCGGCAAGTTGGGCGGAATTCCAGATGAGAAGACCTCTCGTCCCAGGACGCGTTCGGACGGCCGCCTGCGTCGGAATTGGCGCCGGCGAGCGGCTCGCTCGCGCCGCCGCCCCTCGCGCCGCTGCCGCTCCCATGGAGCTCCACTTCTAGTTGGGGTTTTACGATACCCTCGTGAGGAGGGCTGGAAACGTCGTCTGGTCAGTATTATTAGTGCCTGGTTGATGACTTGCCTTTAACCAGCTGCTAGCGTTGGATGGCTTCAGGTGGCCACAAAAGTCGAGGCTGGATAGTCCTCTTACCTGGCAGATGGGAGCGCGCGAATGCATGACTGGACCGCCAATTGCTGCCCACTTTCCAACGTCCCCCGCAGAGCACCGGGATCGCGTGCACAAGCTGCGGTTAAATCCGTCGAGTGTTTTAAAGAGTAAAGGGTATTGTAAAGGGTATTGTAAGTGTGTCAAGTAAGTTTTCGGCTATCATTGCCGGCACGGTGTTGTTTCAGGCTCTGCAACCACCTGCTATAGGGTCGTATGCAGCGAAATTATTTCAGTACCCTATTTCTTCACAACCCAGCGTAGTAGGCAAGTACATGTGCTTTAACCGTGACATATCAAAACAGCTGGTACCCAGTGGCGAATAAAACTCAGGTTACTCCCGTTTTCCCTGAACGGTCACGACGCTTATGCAATAGGAATGGCAAGCATGTGTTAATAACGCGATAGATTGTTATTGAATGTGGAGTAAAAATGAACGCAATTTTGATTGCGGCACTCCAGGTGCGATGTTTTAGAGGAGATATGCAGTTGATAACATATCCCGAGTTCTTTAAATCAGCCACACTGGTGCGTCAGCGACGGTCAGATTTACAAGGGGCTTTGGGCTTCGTCTTTCTGTTTGTTGACTCTCTGCTAGACTTTCGCGTGACTTTCGAATGATGTCTTTTTTATTTTGCTTTACTTCGGTCTCGCAGTCCCCGCTGTCAGGAGGAATTGTTCCTCTGAAGCGTCTCCGAGGGCCGGCTGCCTCCTTAGGTGTGACGAGCGCTGCTTTCTGCCGGGGGCAGCCAGCCGCAAGACGGCTTCAGACCGCAGCAAACCCAGCCAGGCCAGCCGACGTGCTGCCGCGTGCAGGCCTGACCCACTCAGCGAGGGTCGTGTGTGCACGAGGCCGTGTGGCGCAGCGCGCCGGATATTGTCTGCCGGCGCTGACACGGACGCGGTGCCGTTCTCGTCGACCCCGCGCCACTGTCGCCACTGCTGAGCCGCTCTCGCCGCTGGAGCACCGTCTGCCCTGACGTCACAGCGACCGGCCGGTTCTCCCGCCGCTGCAGCACCGTCTGTCGTGACGTCGCAGTGACCGGCCGTTCCCTCGCTATCCCCTCTCTATTCCTCTCCCTCTCCCCCATCCTTTTTCTCGCTCTCCCCTCTTCCTCACCCACTTCCTCCCCTCTCCCTCCTCCTCCCCTTCTTCCTCACCTCTTCCTCTTCCTCTCCCTCACCTTCTACCTCCCCTCTCCCTATCCCCTGTCTCTCCCTCTCCCTTCATCCGGCCTTCCTTTCTTTTTTGACCTCCCATCCGTCTCTTCCTTCGTATTCTGTTTTCTTTTTCACAAGGATGTCTTATGTGTGGTCGTCATCAAAGCCGACTGGTGCATGCTCGCCTACATTACCGGGAGCTGCAGTGCTCAGAGATGTGATGTCCGATTCGACTAGCGAACGACGGGTCAGCGGTCAAGCAAAGGTCACGTCCCGTTCTTGTTGTCCGGGACAACGGCGGGTGCCGATGCTAGGCGCGAAAGCTCCGCGGCCGCTGAGCGCTCGTCGCGTTAAGGTATTGTGTCGGTCAGATGGGCGGGAACCGGACGCAGCGCATCCTTTACCTCTGTTCCACACAGGAAAAATATACTCTCAGCAGTGTCTGTGATTCTCGTTTCTAGAGCCAAAAGATTCGGTAAGATCAGGGTGACTCTGGTTCTGGGGATTATTGATCGTCACATCACTCCTGACGAGTCTGTTTTATACTTCTAAAGACGGGAATCATTGTCACCGTATGTCAGCGATGCAACGCTCTCGCTGCCGCACCGTGCGTCGTGCCGTCTCGCGCCGTCTCGAACGGGCGCGCCGGGCACTGCACTGTATCTGATGGCACCGTCGCTGGTGCGGTGTATCTGATCGCACCGTCACTGGTGCAGTCCTACCGCACCACCGCACTGGTCGGTAACGAGTGACGTCGCATCGGCCACGGCGGTGGGGAGACGGCTCGACAGTGCTGATCGATATGATGCCGCGGTTCTGTGTGGAGGGAGCATGATTCCTGTACCGTCCGTGTGCGGGGGCGTGGTCGGGAGCGCGAGAACTGCGGCCCGCCCTAGTTCTGATCGGAGGTGGTTGACGGGCCCCAGGCGTTTATTATGTGCTGGATATATTATTGAGGATTTTCTGTGAACTTTTTTCTTCTTCTGAGTGTGAAGGTATATTGGCGGAAGTTGTTATTTTTTCATGTTTTCTACGGTTAAAAGTAATCGTATACACACTTGTGAAAGATGGAAATCCGTGATAGACATACATCTAATCGTAAAACATCTAACAGCAAGTGAAAAGTGCGAAAGGCGGGTATACTCCTTTTAAGGTAATATTGCACACCATGGCATATAGGCACCGTAATTGCGAGACAGACAGTGCCTGTCTTCATGCTCTCGGCAGCTGCTCCGCGCGCCGCCAGAGCACGTCTTTTTCTCTTCGCATCTTCGTTAGTGTTCCGCTGTTCCACTTCCCCCGGGACGAGAGCAGCACTAACCTGCACTGACTCCATCCGACAATGTTGCGCCGTCCGCGCTGCCGGACGCCTGTTATCACCGCTGACCTGACGTGACCTGACGTCCGTTGTGACCCTGCTCCAGTCGGGTGTGCCCCTTTGCAGACCTCTGTCTCTGGCCTCGCCTGTTCACACAGCTGACTTGACCTGACCTGGCCGTCTGCTCTGACCATACTCCGGTCGGGTGTGCCCCTCACCTGACCGCTCTGTCTCTGGCCTCTCTGACAGTTCGAGCAGCTGGCGTACACGTGGATGGAGCGGAAGAAGCTGGGCGGCAGCTATTCTTCTCATCGGGCGGCCAACGAGAAACATGTGGTTGTTTGCTCCACCACTCTGCATGCCGACACCATCATGGACTTTCTCAACGAGTTCTACGCTCATCCTTTGCTGCAAGTAGGTTGATTTGGAGTGGTGGTGTGGGCTGCTCGGAGCGCTCGCAAGCGTTTTAGCAGCGCACATACATATGTGAGGCTATGTCGATGGAGTTTCCCGCCGCCCGGCAATATGGTGGTCGGTATGAACAGCACGACCCACATACAATGCTGATTATCCCCACAGCGGCAGTCGCCATCAGTGGGGATGACACCCAGACCAATTTGTAGCGAACGAGTGGCCCTAGTCGCATGTCCCATCCAGTGTAGTGGTACGCCAAATAGCTTGTCCATCAACGGTATGGCTGTGTTAGATTTCCTCCTCAACAAGACTGCTTGTCTGCCCTTTAGCATGCCTGGGCACGAACTGGTGTTCAAAACACTATGGTCTTTCCAATATCTATATCTATATCTATATCTATATATATATATATATATATATATGTATATATATATACATATATATAATCCTCTGCAACAGAAAAACGAGATGCTGACGGCAAGGTGCCTCGCAAAAACAACTAAAAGTAGAGCAAATTCTGGAGAACGGTTTTGACAGCTTGTTAAAAAGACAGCAATGCTATACTAACTTAGCTGGTAAAATGCAAGCATGATAGCAAACAAAACAGGTTTATCACGTTTTCAATTGGCCGGCTGCATTCGACGTCGCTCTACACAAGAAGTCGATTTAACACTCCATGAGATCTATGAAACTCAGCGAGTTGAAAACATCAAGTGTACTGGATAAATTCAAAGAATAACCTACAATTGAGCTTATCTGCGTTTATCTGTGTCAAATTTTTAAGTTCCCAGGCGTTGGCATTCGGGTGAAATAGGGGCGAACAAGGTCAAACTTCGGAGCAGTGTACGAAGCTCCTTCAGCCCCCCCCCCCCCCCCGTACAACCACGTTTATCCTGGATACCTCTGCTAAGCAAAAGGCTACTGAGGTTCCTTTCAGGTCAGTGACCTTATTTGATCTTCATATGGTCACGCACTGTGACCAAAAGACTGCGAGATTGTTTTGATCTTAGAATGTGAATAAGCGTCCAGGACTACGTTGGGCAGTAAGTTCCGAAACACGAAAGGTTGCTCGGGGTCATTTCAAGTCAGTGACCTCTTCTGACCCTTGTAGAACTCATACAACGCATGTTCTACTTCCCTGTGATCAAGAAATTTGAAACGAGGGTCAAAACCTTTTTCCAAAAACCATTGTTTCATAAAAAACACTCAGGTTTTGACCCAGACCTGATCATCACACCTGACTCAATACCGATGAAATAAGTCATACTCCTAACTAAAATTGTCTAGTTGTCAAGGAAACCGTCTCAAGGATGTATGACCTTATCAAACGCTCTGTTGTCGCATCATATTGAACGATTCACAAGAAATTTTCTATGCTGACAACCATGGCCTCACTTTGACCTGCCCTAGCTTGGCGCCCTTACAAAGTACATCCATTTTTTGGTCAGAAGAACCACTATTTAATTGGTTCTAGTTATACGAAGTTAGAAAGGGTAGATTACGACGCTGGGTAGGTTTATTTTGTAATAGCACCTTGACGTCAGGTGCTAAAGAAGCACGAATTCGAATAATGCATATAATAAATGAGCAAATGCGACACGAGAAACATGTGCTAAACCTAACGTACACATACAAAGATGAACAAAAACTAACTGCAAGTACATGTGGCTCCAATTACACGCAGGGATCATCAGGATATGGGCGTAGAAGAAGGCTTCTATGAACTTAAGAGTTCGAGTCGAAAAGTAGTTTCTTCTGGGATAATTCAATTCTCAATTCAGGCTCCCTCCTCCCCAGAGAATCGGTCAGTCAAAATGGGCATGAAATTTATGTTTTAAGAACCGTGAGGCGATGATAAAGTGTGACCTAAAGTTGGTGAAAACGTTATTTCCGAGAACGGCATAATAGCCACTTTCCATAGTCGGTGCGGTGGAAAACGTTTAATATTTTTTGACGAGTTTTCAGTGTTCACCGTCACACATTTTATAATCGATTTTCGGATAGAAATGTTTTTTGGAAATTTTGAGAATATGATTGTAAAAAGTATATTTTGATAAATATGTTGTTGGCTAGCTATAAGCAAGAGCACGCTTATATTGGCAGGTATGATGCTGGGTTTCTCCTTGCTGACACTTTCCGAAACATTTGAAATTGTTTGCTGGCAGTTTTGATGCAGACGGAACAAAACAGAGCCCAATTGCCTGCTCCTGCCCTCTTTATGGGCAAGCTGTTTTGATAGAGCTTACATTCCTAAACATGGTTCACGATGAATGATCTTTGACTTAAATGATCCTTAACACGCGCCAGGGTGGCCGGCTAAACACTCTTCGTTCGGGTTGGGAGTCGATTTGAACACACACACACACACACACACACCCTGAGATCTCAGGAACTAAGAGAGCTAGAGCCACCAAATTTACAAGGTGTGTTTACATGTACATGAACTCACTTCGGCTAAAGTTTCAGGTTCCTAGGTCATGATGTTTTGGTCAACAAATGTAAAATAATGTCAAGCTCCAGGATGGTCTCCCAAGTGCCCCCAGAACCTAGATAATCGTTTCTAAGCAAAAGATCACATGCTCATTCAAGGTCGGTGACCTTGTTTGACCTTTTGAAACGTCAAGGTGACCAAAATTATACAAGATTGCTTTGAGTTTTGCATTTGGCTAAGCGGCTAGGATTACGCCAGACAGTATGTTTCCTAAAACAAAATATTGACCTGGGTCATTTTAGGTCAATGACCTATTCGGACATCGGAGAAGTTCATGGAAGATGCATAATGCGGTTACTGCTGTCAACAAATTCGAAATGGACACCAGAAACTATCCCATACAGCAAGCCCCAGAATAACAAAACAGGCTGGTTTTGACATTGGTGTGACCTTCATACCTGACCTTAGGTCAATGTTATTTGCTCATCCAATTGTTGTGTTGCCTAAGAAAGCATCTCAGAAATGTATGGTTTCGTCTAACACTCCGTTGTTGGATCAAATGGGAGGATTCTGTACAAACTGCCTTCGCTGGAACCATGGCTTGACTTTGACCTGCCATAGGCCAGCGACCTTACAAGGTACATCTAAATTCTATGCCAAACGATCCGCTATTCAATTTTCTATAGCTATGCAAAATTTGGCGCGGCTACGCCGCGACGTTGGGAAACTTTTCCGGAAAAATATTCGGGGGTCAATTCGGCCCCCACCCGAGCGCGTGTAACACCCACCTCGCACCGCACAGCACCGATGTAAACAATAATGGCGCAACCAGTGTCCAACGTCCTCGACCGATTCACATTGTTAATCGTCAAGCCTAGCATTCACCTATGATTGTGTAAACTAAAGGTGTGGCTGGTGGAAATATGCCTACAATGAGTCTCATTTTATGTAATGAGCTTTTTATCATTTAGATACATGTTGCTCAACTATTAAACGCCAATGAAATCGTGTAAAAGCAACCATTTCTTTGTCAGAGTGCTTAACTTGTACCAAAGCGCCATAGAAGCATTTAAGCAACTTTTGAACACCTCCCTAGCTCATTAATCCATCGTAAAACTACTAGTAGAGAATGAAATACGGTGTGCTTCTATTGGTTCGTTTATATAAACCAAGGAGCAGTTGAGCCCTTACGCATATTCGCCGATGCCACCTCCTGCCTGGCTCGCTGCCTGACAACACCTCTCCATCACCGTTGGCAGGACTACTACGTGGTGCTGCTGTCGCCGATGGAGCTGGACGCCACCATGCGCATGATCCTGCAGGTCCCCATCTGGGCGCAACGCGCCATCTACATCCAGGGCTCGTGCCTCAAGGACGGTGACCTGAATCGGGCACGCATGAATGATGCCGAGGCATGCTTCATCCTGGCAGCTCGTAGCTACGCCGACAAGACGGCCGCGGTGAGTCAACCCGGCCGGGCCCGGCCAGTGGTTAGGAGAGTGCACCGCCCAGCGTGTTGGTCGGATAGAGTGCACCGCCCAGCGTGTTGGCCGGGTAGAGTGCACCGCCCAGCGTGTTGGCCGGATAGGGTGCACCGCTCAGCATGTTGGCCGGATAGAGTGCACCGCCCAGCGTGTTGGCCGGATAGGGTGCACCGCCCAGCGTGTTGGCCGGATAGGGTGCACCGCTCAGCGTGTTGGCCGGATAGGGTGCAACGCCCGGCGTGTTAGCCGGGTAGGGTGCACCGCTCAGCATGTTGGCCGTGGAGGGTGCACCGCTCGGCCTGTTGGCCGGGGAGGGTGCACCGCTCGGCGTGTTGGCCGAGGAGGGTGCACCGCTCGGCGTGTTGGCCGTGGAGGGTGCACCGCTCAGCACGTTGGCCGGGTA